GCCCCTTCCCTTCTTCAAAGATGGAGCGGCCGCCACCCGGCGGAGGCAACGGAAAGGCGGGGGTGCCCCGCGGCGCTTGTGGGAAAGATGAAAGCCTAACCTGCACGCATACACTTGCGCAAAAGCAGCCCCACATTTTACACCCAGCTGTTCTACACGTCAGTCTAAAGAAAGTTGCTACTGTTCTACGACTGCGCATCTGCCAACAGAGGTAGTGTCTGCAGTTTCTTCCGCTCCGCCCGCGGCCTCAGGAATGCAGGAGGCAAATACGACACTCAGTACCCAACAGATCACGCCACAACACAGACACAAGCAAGTCACTAGTTCGCCTATTCTTATATAATGAATAGCCGAACGAGAGGAACGAGATACGAGATAAACTGAGGTTATTCAAAAACATGCAAGTTCGCTCGGGTTGGCGCAGGGCTCGCAGCGCCCAAAAAGTCTGCCAAAGGATTTTCCCAGTCCTTCGGACTGGTTATAGTAGTCGCCAAGTTCCTGCCGTTGGTTGCCGCCCCATATCCACTGCCAAGCCCCTCCTACACAAGGGAGCCCGAAATGCCAAATTGCAAAAGCAGCTCGCTGCTCCTTCTGCAGTTGCTGCTGTTGCTCCCCTCTCCCGAGTCTCTCGCATAGTTGCGAGGCTAAACAAAACCAACACTTTGCCTGACAGCGCACTGCACTAAAAGGCAAAACTGCTCATCTAGGAATGCCTCATCTGACGGCCCCTCCGCCATTTTCTGCCTGAAAGCAGCAGCCATCTGATGGCCTGGGCAGCGAGACGGCCTCCCCTTCCACGGATGCGCCGGGGTGCGTTACTCCGCTCTGTTTCAGCCNGGCCTGGGCAGCGAGACGGCCTCCCCTTCCACGGATGCGCCGGGGTGCGTTACTCCGCTCTGTTTCAGCCCGCGCAGCCCCCTGGCATGATCCCGCTCTGCAATGCGTATTTCCTCTCTACGGGATGTTCACAGGTTGCAAATGGCCACGATAAAGACAGCCACTAGAAGAACAGCAACTAGAAGCAAGGCTCAGTAAAGCTCCTGCTGCCGGTGCAGTCCTCCGCCATCCACTTGGCCACATCTTTAGCGTAATACGTCGCGATTGCATCGGCCCCAGCCCTGCGGAAGCCCTTAAGGGTTTCTAGAACGACGGCCTTCTCGTCGACCCAACCCTTTTCTGCCGCCGCCTTGATCATCGCATACTCCCCAGAAACCTGGTAAGCAGCGAGCGGCACGTTTGTCTTCTGGCGGACACGACGCAGCACGTCAAGGTAAGGAGTTCCTGGCTTCACCATGAGCATGTCGGCTCCCTCCTGGACATCTGCACCCAGCAGCAACAAATTGCAAACACCACACGATTTCCTGCTTGCAGCCGCCTTGACAGTA